ATATTAAACAGGAGGAGGAGGGGCTATCAAAGAGGACACAGCCATACTTTAAACTGACCTTTAACCCCTCTGAAATGCCCACCATCAGCCAACCTGGTATCAGTGACTTATTGTACTCCAGAATTGGAATTAATGGTTGTTTTTATTATGAAGTCAAACACTCTTTGATTATTTAATTGTCTATAAACTATAATTTAGCATAACAGTTGTACATGCTGTCAGAGGGTGTATCCCCACTGGGGAAGTCCTCCAAGAACAACAAACCTTTGAAACATTTTATTCAGTTCGCTAGTGTTTCAAACTGCCAGCAGCAACACTGAACTGATGCAACAGCTAGCCGCTAACTGGTAATGCATTGTCATCCATTGTTGTTTTTCTTTATAAGTCTGTTTTATCTTACGTATTTTCACTTTACATCATTTCCCAGTGTGCTGAATGGAATGAAACCATATTTATTTAGTGGTTGGACAGCACCACTAAATTCTTAATCATTTAAATTCATCAGGTTTAGTCAGATATAATCATTTATTAATACTCTGTGATTTTTTTTTATTATGTTTTTTTTTTTTGTATTTTAAACTGTTCTGCTCTTTTAGCACGTGTTGCTGTGGTCAGAGAGGAGGGCAGTAATGGAGATCGAGAGATGTCTGTCTCTCTGTACATGGCGGGCTTTGAGGTCATTAACAACAGCTTTATGAACCAGATATCTGCTCATCTAAATCTAAACTGTGTTGCATGTGTTCATTATTGAGCTTTGCAATGTAAATGTGTGTGTAGGTTTGGGATGTCACCATGCAGGACCTGTGCACTGGCTCAGTAACCTTGGACCCTTTCAAAGCAGTTGTTTTTGTTGGTGGTTTCAGCTATGCAGACGTCCTGGGATCAGCTAAAGGTAAATGCACTCGCATGCACTCAGACGTAAACCACTGTGAGGTACATATTATTTTTTTCCTGCGTAACAATATTACTTTTTCATAAAGGTTGGGCAGCTACTGTTGCCTACAACTCCAAAGCCAAGGCTGAATTTGATTGTTTCCGACAACGTGAGGATACAGTGAGTCTGGGCGTATGTAATGGTTGTCAGCTGCTCGCCTTGCTGGGCTGGGTGGGAGAGAGCGAGGAAGGAGTGGGTAAGAGGACATTGCAAAGAAATGTTTCTTGAAAATGTGATTGAAATAAAGCAACACAATACCTTAGTAGTGAATTAAAACAGAATTGTTTAGAATAATTTTTAATCCTGATGTTTGTTTGTTTTTTTCTTGGCTTTTTTATTCTCACCAGAATCTGAAGTGGTGCTGAGTCACAATAAGTCAGGCAGGTTTGAGTCGCGTTTTGTCAGCGTTGGGATCCAGAACTCTCCATCCATCTGGCTGAGAGGCATGGAGGGCTCAGCGCTGGGAGTCTGGGTTGCACATGGAGAAGGTAAAGTCAGATCAGCATGAGAGGTCTACTGCTAAGCAGGATTTGTAGTCAGGTTTAAACGAGCGTGCTTAGTATCATGACAGTGGGTCACAACTTACTAAACTAAATCACAGTGGTAACTTACGCTTAACTTAAACTCACCAGCAGTAAAAACAGTATCAACAAACCAGTTCTGTTCTATTGGAAAATGGTGTCTTAGAACAGCGGTCCCCAACCCCCTGGCCGGTACCGGTCTGAGAGTTGAGACTTAGGTGTGAAATTTGTGGTTTTCAGGGTTTTTATCCTAAAAACCATAAATAATAAACCATAAATCCTTTATCATTATTTTTTGTTTTTATCATTAACTTGGTTTCCCTGGGTCTTTTCCTGTGTGTCATGAATGACCCACATGTAAATAAGACTTCTATTATATGCACAATAAAGCGGACTGGTACCGGGCCACAAGAGTTGAGGCTCAGGTGTAAAATTCATGGTTTTCAGGATTCTTATAGTTTTTATCATTAACTCAGTTTCCCTGGGTCTTTTCCCATGTGTTATGAATAAATCTTCTTTTGTTGGTACCGGTGCTGGTTTTATTTTGTTGTATTTATCCGAGACACCTTAAAGGCCAGTCCGTGAAAATATTGTTGGACATAAACCGGTCTGTGGCGCAAAAAAGGTTGGGGACCGCTGTCTTAGAAGACACTAGAGTAGGGGTGGGGGAACTCCAGGCCTCAAGGGCCAGTGTCCTGCAGGTTTTAGCAGGTGTCCTTGATCCAGCACAGCTGATTTATATGGCTAAATTACATCCTCAACATGTTTTGAAGTTCTCCAGAGGCCTGGTAATAAACTAATCATTTGATTCATGTGTGTTGACCCAGGGTGATATTTAAAACCTGCAGAACACCGGCCCTTGAGGCCTGGAGTTCCCCACCCCTGCACTAGAGGATCCTATGGAGTTCAAATATTCAGAGATGATGATAGATCAGGAGTTGATCAACCAAACATGAACAAACTTGGCCACAGGGCATCCTAAGCCCAGGATGTTATCAGATCAGATATCATCATGTTGCCTACCAAACATCAAGGGGCTAAAATGATCCATATGTAGCATTTATTCTTACAACAGCTTGCAACTATGTTATGACTATGGATGGGTACCGGTGACATAAACGGTAGTAACCAGACCGAAAAGCAGCGCACATTTCGGTGCTTTATTTCGGTGCTTTTTTTTCCTGAGCTGTGATACACTTTAGATTCTAGCCAATCATTTTACGTTTCCGAGGATAGTAGGCGGGTCCAGGTACGTACGTTCTTTTAGAGCAGAGCTACAGATTAAAAACACCCAAGGTAAAGCGGTCAAAAGTCTGGCTGTACTTCACAGCAAAATATGCAAACTCAGCAGCCTGCAACAAGTGCTTTAAGCTGATACTGTGATACTGTCAAAGGAGGTAACGCCTCAAATCCGATGAAACACCTGGCGACGCATAGCGTTTTTTGAAAAGCCGAGAAATGCGCCGTATTTGATAGCTTGCTGCGAGACCTCACACCGTGCACATCTACTGCGGGTGGGTTGCCTGTTATCGGACCCGGAGTTAGCAACATCCCCCAAAAACACGAAGAGGAGAGTCCTGGCCCCTAGCCCTGCCAGTGTAGCAGAAATGATGACGGAGGATGATGCAGCAGCAGCCGTTCTTCTCTGCGTGAGTAGCTTAATGTTGTTCGTGTGTAATTTACATTGAGTAGGCTAACCACGTTATTACATTAATGCATGTAAGGTGAACTAGCAAACATCATCATATCTACATGCGGCTGTCCTCTTGTTTGATGGCAGATACTCCCTTCACCCTGGCCAAAAAGGCTAAAATGACCAAAGAAAAAGTGGAAAACAGTTAAACATGAGAGGTTTTTGGACAAAGTTTGTGTTTTTTCCATTGTTTAAGCACTGCTTCCAGCCAAGAGTGATGCCATATATGCCCCGTAGCTGCAGAAAAGGCTAACATTGTTATCTTTTTACAAAAAAACAGCTGAACATGAGAGGTTTTTGGGCAAAGTTTGTGTTTTCCATTCTTTAAGCACCGGTTTGAGCACCGTTTCAAAAGTACCGATTTGGCACCGGTATCGGATAAAACCTAAACGATACCCATCCCTAGTTATCACTGTTCAATTTTCAGCAGGCATAAAATAGTATTTTGCATCAACAAGGTGATTATCAAGGCACTATTAGCTGGCAAACTTGGCATATCTTCTCATGATGCACTGTCTCTAAAAACTTTGCAGAAACTGTATAAGTACAAAAGACGATGTGGCAGGCTTAAAAGCTATCTGCAGGAAATAGATAGTAGCTGACATTCATGTCCTTAAGAAATAGGGGAGAAAGAAAAGCAGAAACCTGGCATAAGACCTGAGAGATGACATGTTTCTCTTCAGCTGATCTATCTGCTGTTCACTAAACCCTCATCAGAAATAGTCTCGGTGGAAGGTTGGCTGACGAGAAGTCGTTTTTGAGGGAGGGAAATGGAAGTGGGGGGAAAAAGCTGAGGTATATCAGATTACACAAGAGCTGGACCGAAAATCTGTCGCATCTGCAAAACTCGTTGGAGGCTCTGTCGTGGTTCGGCCCTGCTTTTCAGCCATGGTGTTGGGATCTTGTCAGCACTAAAAGTGGTCATAGCCAAAATGTTCTAGCTTTATATATTTCCATTAAAACTTTGCACACGTCAATAAATCACTCAGTTATTTATCATTTTTCTAGCAGAATGTACAGAAATGATGAGCCCCCCTCTTTAAACTTGCATAACATCAAAGATTAATCTGGTTGCCTAACAAGTCAGTGAGTCCGTACGCTCTGTAATCAGCACCTGTGTTTAGTATTGATTTTTCCCCTAACCTTTTTCTTTCCCATAGGTCTTGTGCAATTCCGTAGCTCTCGGGCTCAGGACCTGATTATTTCTGGTGGACTAGCCCCCCTCCGTTACCTTGACGACCAGGGTCATCCCACTGAAGAGTACCCTCTCAACCCTAACGGCTCACCGCAGGGTATCGCAGGACTCTGCTCCAGGGATGGCAGACACCTGGCCATGATGCCCCACCCGGAGCGCTGCACCCTGAGCTGGCAGTGGCCCTGGGCCCCAAGGGACTTCAGACCTTCTCTCACACCTTCACCCTGGCTGCGTATGTTCAAGAACGCAGCTTCTTGGTGCAGCAATCAAGAGTGATATTCCTCCATTAACATGTTTCTAGTGCTGTCAAAGTAGGGTGTCAACTAAAACTGCCATGTCTGTTTACGTTTTGTTGCCCAGCTTTTTACTTACTGGGGTACGCTGGTGTTTATGCATTATTACTGCCTGTTATACTTTATTGACTTATGGATTAAACATGAATTTCATAGGTTTAATCTGCATATTGTACAAAACTGCAGGTCTGCTGTTATTAGTGTTGGTCTGCTGAAACATCCACTACTGAACTTGCTAACAATAAATGATTTAATACTGGAAAAACGTGGTGTTGTGTGACATGATAAAGAACGGCTATATAAATCAATAAATATTGTTTATTTAAACGATAAAAACTTAAATTTATACAATGTCAAGTATTTACATGGATGTCAATAATACAGTACTGACGTGACACATGTTCTGTAGCTTACTGGAACAACACGTTTGTGTACACTGGTACGGATTTTTTTTTAAAGGGAAAACAAAGACAAGTCAAACACTTAAGGACTCAAGAAGGGTTAAGGATTTGTAACCACATCTGAACCTACAAATTGCATAACATCATATTTTTAGTTAGTTTAGCATGAACTCTGTAAACAGTTCACAAAAACACCTGGAATCTGAATCTACATTTAGGGAGGCTCAGACAACCTCTAACACCTTGACTGTTGCATGCTGTGCAGTTGTCAATATTCTTCTAACCACTAATCCAGCCAGAGGGAAGAAATTCAATAAAAGTCCATGTCTAACAGCTTGTGCTGCCACGCTCCAGCTGCTCATGCTCTCTAAAGTGAATCTCCCATCACTCCCTGTGAGGTTGTAGCATTTCCAGGTTGTCCTCTCTCTGGTGCTATTTGCTGGTTGATATTGATAACACAGATAAGGAGCAGGATGACCACCACCAGGTCATCCAGGAGACCTAGCAGTCCACAGAGAGAGGGGTCTGTTTCTAGGGTGCTCGATGAAGACACGGCATCCAGAGCAGGGGAGGAGATGGACATCACGGTCCCCACGCAGCACAGGGCAACCCTGAACAGAAACAGCCACACGAGTCCTCCCATGGTGCCCAGGCCACGAACCAGTAACTGCAGAAGCAGGGGGGTGTCACAGAGGTAGTCAGTTACCTGGAGGGGTGAGTATGCAGGAGGACATCAGACAACCAGATACCAAACATTTCAAGTTGGAGCAATCAAAAATGATCCACAAGATTTTTGACTGAGCACTTCGACATGGGTCAGGGGTATTCTGCTGATTTCCTGATGCTGCATTTATTATATTTGTGTCTCTCTTAAAAGCAAGAAATAAATTATTCTAAATGTATAGTCAAAAGTAGTTCCAGTTCTTAAGCATGAACGCTACAGGATATGTTTTCAAAGAAAAAAAACACACAAAGAAGGTCACGTGGCTTCTAGGTGTGTCATTGTGAGCTGTTGAGCTCATACCTCCTTTGTCTATCACTGTTGGTTAAACAGGACAATAACTGCTAGGTTGCATAAGAGGTATTCCCTTTTCTAACTCTTCGAGGAAATAATGAAAGAATTCTTTTCTTCCCTTTCAGATGCCCTGATAGATACCACGGCTTATGATATCTTAGAATAATAATAATAATAAAAGTACTCTTGGCTCCTTGATAGGTGAGTTTGCTGTTGGGGAGTAGCAGTACAATGATGTTACTGATGTTTTAACAGAGTACTGACCCTGCGCGGAGCTCCAGAATAACGTTTGTTGTAGGCTGTGATTTCATCGAGAACTTCTTTTGACTGCTGGTCTGATCGGGTCTCGCTGAACAGGTGGCAGAGCACGCTGACCTGCAAGATTGCAAGCATTTTTATTTCACGTCCACGCTCGTAACACATTTATGATGTACAGTAAAGGAACTAGGAGAATAACGCACCTTCTGTCTGCAAAGAGGACAACTGATTGCATCTAACCATGACCCATGCCTCCAATAGGCGATAAGACAGGGAGCTGCAGAATCAAACACAACTATTTATTTAACTCGTCATTTAATCTATAATAGATAGTATCAAGGTTGGATGAGTGCATTCATGCCATAAATGTTACTCAAAAGCTACAGATATGAACATCTAATTGACCATCTCAGATATGCCCGAAGAAATTCCAGGAGAAACACTTCCTAATAGGAATTTGCAGAATTATCCAGAATTTCAGGTTCTCAGTTCTACTGTTTAGTTTTTTGTTTTTTTTAAAGCAATAAGTTTATGCACAGTCATGGTTCTGGGTCATAACTCTGCATAAACTGGCTTTTGTTGTTATACTTAAGCAATCTTTGGCTGTCACATATAAATATGAGATATTTTTAAAAATTCATATTGGAAACATGAGAGATCACCATCCCAAGTTTTGGATATTCTTCAAAGAATATTATGCGCCTTGAATATGAGAAGCTGTGAACAAAATATCAGTCCTCTACCTGCAAAAATGTGGTGTCTTTAGGTCTCCAAATCTGCTGGTAGAGATTGGACATAATATTTCAGGGATTTCAACAACAGTCATTATATGCTATCCACTCTTGAGACTTTATATTCATAGTGCCATGTTACCAGATATTTACACCAGAAAACTGAAGGATCTAGCTCAAGTTATTTAAAAAAAAACAATCCCTAAATGACAGAACCTGAAATGTATTCCCCATTGAGAAGTCAACCTTTCTCCTGGATTCTTTTTTTCAGGCAAATCTAAGGTAAATGACCCTGTAGCAAAAATTACAAGAGCCCTTCTCAAAAGCAGATTTGTAAAGACCTGAACATTTTTACATGGTTAGCCTAATATACGGATACGAGCTCTGTTTTTTTATTCTATGTATTATACACCTCTCAAGTCAACTCATAGCGCAACTCTCCTTAATGCTCCAAGTGTAGATTATGAATTTGGGTTAATGATGTTGAGATTTTGCTTTCCTAGTAGCGGGCATAAAACCTCCATCTCGCATCGTCTGTGAACACATACCTTACTGTGTTTGGTCGTTTGCTGCTCTATCTACAAGTGTAATGGGTGGACCGTGGCAAACGTTAATTATTAAAAGCCAAACAGATGGGCCAAACAGATGGGCCTGAAACAGCTACAGCACACTACTTCTACACTGATCAGTGAATAAATCGCATAAACTAAGACACGAAGTGTGAGCCCTAATCACAGATGATTGACCGAACGGGTGTGTGCATAAAATAATTAGAGTCTGAGAAGATTTTGGTCAGTTTGTGTAAATGTGTGCAGGATCTCGTACCGCAGAACAAATGGCCGCAGTTCGTCTGGACTGGGAATCTGGCCGTCTGCAGGCAGACTGGGCAGTGCCAGTCTCGTCTGTTCGAAGACTGACATGCCTGCATGGATTCCTAAAAACAGGAGAGACGAGGAGACATAGAAGAGAAGACATAAGTGAAAAGTAGGAAGAAGGAAAAGGACAATGACAGAAGAATCGATAAGCGTTTTCTATTCCTATTCCTGGTGTTCATGGATTTCAAGTGAAATAATCTTTGAAAAGCTTATACCGATGTAACGGTGAAACACAGAACACAACACAACAGAAAACTTTTGATTTGAGTCATGCAAGCAGTGACATCAACTTCCTCCACCAGACTGTGCCCCCAATAAAAGCAATAAATTACCTTTTTTATAACCCAGGAAGTGTCTTATAAATAATGTTTTCCCAGTTTCCGTGTAGGAGAAACTGTTTTAAAAATCCAAATTAATGTAACTCTTTAAGTTAAAGCATGAGATTCACCCAAGTGCTTCAGAGATAGTGACAAAGAGAAGTGTAACCCCCACTGAAAACAAGGAAATATAATAAGCCCCTGCATGACATGAGCTTTATTGTGAGTGTATGCGTTTGTGTGAACCACTCACCTTTAGGCAGCTCATATACATTGATGTTGACTGATCAGGTGTGCACAGCAAATACGTGGATTATCCTACAGGCGACCCTGACTCAGTGGAACTTCAGTCTGATCTGAAACATGACATGACATAGCAACATAGATAAACACACCTGTAATGCTAGTTTATCTAAATAATGATTTAATTATTGATGTGTGAGATAAAGAGAACAGAAGCTCGGCTCTTCTCTGTTTGCGGATTACGGCTACTGATGCTCCGACTTCAGCGTTCGGACTGCTAATTTAAATGGTTTGTAAAGCTTAGCCTGCACTAACAGGTGAAATATTTTTTTCAGATGGAAAGATGAAACTGTTAATAACAATATGCTCAAATCAAAGAAGGCTGCAGGTTTATAACAGATTTCATTTGTCAAATAACTTCAGTATCAATTTATGGCTTAGATCACCTAATGGGCTTAACATTAGGTCTGGTCTTTCATACAAATCAAGAAATCTGTAAGAAACACACTCAACAAATTCCCCCAAACCTTCTCTAACAATTTGGTAAAGCACAAAATCATATTTCTATTACAGAAAACATTGGAAAAAAGACTCACCCGGACTTAAATCTGTTGCACGGGTGTATAGAGGTTAGGCAGATAGATAATCAGTGTCTTCTAGAAGGAAGTGAAGTGCTGCCCAACAGCATCACTGAACAAAATAAATTGAAGCTCCCTGTTAATGATCAACTACATTTTCCAATATCAGCTGGCCTGTGAGTCTTTCTACTTAAAGGGGACAGCATTGTCAGATCAATACATTGGTGCTTTGTACAAAACTCACTTACTTCCCTTTAAAATAGGTAGCTGTCAACCTTTAGTCTCAAAATAAATACAAAAAAACGAGAAAAAAAATCAACATATTTGTTCCTTCAGTCTGGCCAGAGGTAACCGGTTTGGGTCGCATGACCAGATCAAAGCCAGAAAAGATTCCTCCTACGCTTTGTTTAAGTAGGTTATATTTGAACTTGCCAATAATTTACCCAGAGTTTACTTAGCCAAAACCTTGTCCATGCAATGCTTTTTTATATTACTACACCAAGGGTACTTCAACTGATCCTTTGATCCAAATCCAAGTTGCAATGTGAAAGTAAGAAATGTCTAAATCGGTGGATAGTAAAACCATTAAAAACAGAGTACTACATGAACATAGCATTGACTTACTGTGGCAAATATTTGTGGCAAAGCAACCTGTCTGGTAGTGCCAAATGTTGTGACAGCCATCACGTACTTTTCCAAGGCAGCTATTGCAGAAATATCTTGTCAAATATTTGCCCTGGCACTTCACCATACCTTAAACGCTAAAAAAGGGAAGTTCATGTGGATCAAATCCTCTAAAAATAGCCACTATAGGGTCAAGGTCTGAGTGGCAGAAATCAGGAGATAAATGAGGTCCTCATCCAAAGAGAGTTTAATGGGTAAAGTCCAGAGTCAGTTCAAGCACGTACTATTTTATGAGTGTGTCAAATTTTAGCTTTGATTTGTGATCATTAGGTTGTTTGCTGAGTGATGTAACAATCCCTTTATAATAGGTGCTCTTTAAGATTTGTTTGTAATTTTCCATGGTGTGGCTTGGGAAAGCATGTGACACAGAGAAGATTTCATATCAACTAGACACAACCTCATGTGAGGCATAAAATAAATGGGTAACTTGAGAAATTTATTGCCTTCATGGGAAATGATTTACTCGCAGAGAGTAGCTGACATGCTGCCAGGGTTTTAATGGCTCTCTGGGAACAGTGCAGATTACAGAAAATACTTGTATAGCCAATAAAACGTGTCCTAGGGATTATCATTCCAACGGTATTTATCTTAAAGCTCTGCTAAGAAAATTGGCTGTGCAGGATTTTTAATTTGTTGGGTGTGATAATAAAATATTTTAAAGCAGAGAAGCCAAACATGATATAAACTGCAGTGAAGAGATGTTGGCTGAGCAAGCTTGAGCCACATTTATGTTTGGGCCACTATCTCTTGCTCAGTATCACTTTTTACATGGTTTTGGTTGTGGCTTGTTTCAAGCAGCAAATAGTTTGAAATATTTACCTTTGCCTGCAAATCTGATTGTTTTTTTTGGGAATTCGATACTGTCTGGTTTCTCCTTAAGTTATCATATCAGTGTATAAAGACTTTAGTCACGATGCTGTAGCCTCGAGCAGGGTTTTTACTACTTAACTGTTAACTGCAGGTGAAATGACGACCTCATTTGGGGGAAGTGGATACTGTAACCTTTATGGAACACAATAAATAATACTAAATTAGCCACGCTCCATTTTCTTCTAATAACTTTTTGTTTTCCTGTTCCCTAATATCGGTGGGCAAAGAAAACGACTGAACGGACAAAAAATGTGTTTATTTTGTGCAGATAAGTGAGGCGTACAGGAATTTCAAATCAAGCTGTCTGATTGGCCAGAGTGTGGAGTCACAGCCGTCAATCATCCCCGATCTTAATACCGATTGGTTTCTGCTTAGATACCCTCTCACTTCGCAACAACCCAACCTGTAAGCAAGAAGAAGAAGCTACGCTATTCGCGTACATCTTACGCAAACTTAAGTCAGACAGGTCTTCACTCGTCTTCAAAATACGTATCTGACGTTAGATAGCCACCTTTGGCAGCAGGTGAGGTCAAATGCTGAGGGACAGAGCGGAAGAGCTTTTTTGCCGACAGGTGGAGGAAGAAATATTTTAGCTTTAAGCTAAAAGGCAACAAATGGACAAAAACAAGACGGAGCTGGTCGAAAGCCTCATAATATGGGTGAGTCTATTTGTGAATGTGTCGCCGAAACCGCGGAAGGGATTTAAGTCACCTGTTCGTAGCTGGTGGGGGTGTCAACGAAAGAAACTAGAGAGAAAATGAAGGAAATCTGACAATTTGTTCGGACGGTGTAATGGCAGAATAAGGTCGTTATTAGAGAGATTAGCTTCTTGTGCAGCTGTTGTTCGTCTCTGTGACCCCATAGGTAGGAAATGTAGCTGGGTGCGGGGGGTCCTGCAGTCTGCTGAATGTAAAGTTAACACCTAGCAGGTGCAAAGATAACAATCCTCTAGTTCATGTGGCTTGGCAAGACTCTGGCTGCTAATCCAATTAACCAGGGGGGTATTTGCGGAATGTCGCGGTTTGGATTTTTGCTAATGTTATGTAACTGCTTAAATGTAGCAAACAGCAGCAAGTAAAAAGGCACTTTGCGCTCACAGAGAACAAACAGTTTTGCTGCCTGTCTTGTGGTTAGTAATAGGATAAGCGCGGAGTTAATGAGATCTCGTCCAGGATCCACGATTGCTGTGTCTGTCAGTAAGCCACTTTGTTGAACCCGTAACTTTGAACAGCAGTGTCACTAAGTAACGGGTCAACTTACCCAATGCCAAAAACAAGAAAATGTGTAAAGGTGTCCCATGAAGGGAGTAAAACTTCCTATAAACTCTTCAAAACCGTGCTTGGTGGTCTTTAAATTTTATCGTGGCTATAGCTGCACTGTTCTTGCGGAAGGATATTGATATTAGACTGTGAGAATTAACCGTACACCGTGGCTGCTGCTTGAATTATTTACATCATCATGTAAGCAAGAAAGCCTTTTTCTTTACTTGGGTCTGCGGTGGTTTCTTTGCCACTGTTGTCCTGTGTGTCACTGTACATCCTGCCCTAAACATTTATCATTTCTTCTTCTTCAATATTGAGGTTTGTTTTTTTTTAACTCAGTGGTTTGACTTTGGAAACATTTTGCAAATGTAGAAAAGTAAAAATCACTGCTATAAATGAGACAAACAAGACAAAAGAAGAACACAAATGAAACAGTGCAAAGTGATGATGTGTCTTATTCTGTCCTCTCATCTTTCCTTATTCTCTGTAGGGGTTTTGAAACAACTACAGTGCAGTGAAAACTATTTGCCACCCTTCTGATTTATTTATTTGTTTATTTTTTGGTTGTTTGTTTTTTTTGTCCCATGATGTTTCAGATCATCACATTTTAATATTAGACAATGATTAGCCCAGTAAAAACAAAGATGCAATTTTAAATGATGATTTCATTTGTTAAGGGAAAAAAGTTTTCAAACCTACTTGGCTTATCTATGTTGAAAAAGAAATCCCCCCCCCTTCCTTTTAAATCATAATTAACTGTGATTAACCAATTTTTTTTGGAAGCCTGAGTTTAATTTCACTGTTAAATCACAAAAGCGCTTAGATGGAACCTGTCTGACAAGGTGAAACAGGCTAAAAGGTCTCAAAAGGTAGCAGCGAACCACAGTGAGACCCATTATTCACAAATGGAGACAACTTGGAACAGTAGTGAACAGTGGTAAGCCTACCAAAATTATCATCAATAATCCATCAATGACTCATCATGAAGGTCACAAAAGAACCAGGAACCTGGAAGACTGCATGTTTCCCTTGCATCAGTCAAGGCTGATCTTTGCAATTAAGAAGGAAATTGAGCAAAAATGCCATCCATGGAGGTTCCAAGGAGAAAACCACTGCTGACCAAAAAGGAAACAAAGGCTTGTCTCACATGTCCAAGACTTTTGGAGAAATATACTGTGGAGTGACAAGACACATTGAACCTTTTCAAATGTTTGCATCCCATTACATCTGGCATAAAACTATTATACCATTTCAAAAACAGTACATCATGTCGCCAGTCAAACGTGGTGGTGGTGGTGGTAGTAGTGTGATGGTGGCTTTGTTGTTTCAGGACCTGGACAACTTGATGGTGACATAAATTCTGCTCTGACAATTAGTTTGTGGCTCAATTCAAACAATTCTGCAAAGAACAGTTGGCCAAAATTCCTCCACAGCAGCTGTTCCCAAAGTTAAGAGTGCTGCGGCCCATTTAAAAATGAAAGATTCCAGAGGGGCCTGCCATCATTAAATCTGTACTCTTTACAAAATATGAAACAGTGCTCAATTTCCATGAAAATTTTATAAAAATAAAATAAGTGGCTATAAATTGCTAATGCTACCCAGTCATATGCAAAGTATGAAGGCCAACGTTTGACCCACTTGCCACTGCAGCACAAACTTCAATAATAATAAATTTAGGTCAGAGTAATGTTCTGTTACCAGTTTTAAATCACCTTTTTATATAAATAAATACATTTATATAAACATGTTACTGTACATACTTGAGTGAGTAATTTCACACTGAATTTCTGTTATTACTGTGGCCCACCAGGGGGCCCTGGCCCACACTTTAAGAATCACTGCTGCACAGCAACCCGAGACACTCATTGTCACTTAACACAAACACTTGCAGTTCTTGCTGCTAAGGGTGGCGCAACTAGTTATTAGGTTTAAGGGGCAATTACTTTTCAGGTATGTCCAGGTATGTTTAAATAGCTTTGTTCTGGTTTTTTTTTTTTTTTTTTTTTTTTTTCTAATTTGAAGGGTTCTTTCTGTAATAATATTTGTTTGATCTAAAACAGGTAAAATCTTCTTTGCAAATATGCAAAGAAGTAAAAAATAGAAAGGGGGTAAATACTTCACAGCACTGTATGGCATCTCAGAATCTTTGTAATGTTGTAGTTAAAGTCTTTAAAATATATTTGCTGGTGCACTACTACATTATTCCCTTGGTTTATCAGTCATCATAATATTATTTTGTTTTCTGCCTCTCAGCTGCAAACTTTCAACACTCCTGCACCCTGCCAAACAGTGGAGGAGCTGACCACTGGAGCAGCAATGTCACAGGCTCTGCATCAGATGTGAGAGCACATGCTTTATTTATTTCCAGCCAGTAATTCATGTCACACATGCTCCTGCCTACTCCACATTAGGTCAAACGTGCACTGCTGGAACAGTTGGGATAATGTGCTTGCATTTTTTTTTGCTCTCATGCCCTCATTAGTTCCTCTACTATAGAGAGAAAGGGTAATTATGCTTTAAAGTGCACACAAACAAAAAGAATACTACTGATCTTATCTTATTACATTTCTGGCCAGCACCACATTATAGTCATTGACAATGACCCCTCACAGCAAGAACATTTTGGGTACAAAGTAGAGCTGCTTAATTATGGCAACAATCTTAATCTTAATCACAGTTATGATGAGGACTATTTATCACAAAAAATTAACTTAAAATGAAGTGCATTTGTTAAACGTTTTAGTTTAACAGAGAGAACAGAGAAAGTGCCCCACTGTAAAGGAAAGGCAAAGTGAAAGCACCATTTCAAACACTTGTTGGAGGTTTTAATTGTAAGTGAATATCAATTTCAGTTAATTGCACAGTTAT